GGACACTTCCAGGGATCCAGGGGCAGCCACAGCTTCTCTGGGCAACCTGTGCCAGGGCCTCCCCACCCTCCCAGGGAACAATTTCTTCCCAATATCCCATCTGTTCTGGCCGTCTGGCAGTTTAAAATTATTCCTTGCTCAGGCTACGGGTGGGAATTTAAAAGAGAACCAAAAGCAAAATAAATCAACCTGAACTGTGAGTGACAGGAAGTTACAATTCCCAAGAAACCCTCAGTGCTGGTGTTTGTTCTTCTTCCCTCGTGAGAACTTTCCTTTTCCATTACAAGGACAAATCCTTGTAATGGAAGGCAAAAAGGTCCCTGTGGTTGCCTGCTCCTGGAACAACCCACAGTGCTTTAGTTGGGAGAAAATTCCCCCGAGGAAACCTGCTTTCTGCCTTGCTTCACTTCAAGAGGAGCAGAGCACAGGGCTGACATTCCCTCTCATGCCCTGCCCTGACGTCCCTCTGCCCCTTTCCCCAGGTCGATTTTGGCTTTGCAAAGAAAATAGGATTTGGAAAGAAAACATGGACTTTTTGTGGCACCCCGGAGTACGTGGCCCCCGAGATCATCCTGAACAAAGGTCATGACATTTCAGCAGACTACTGGTCACTGGGAATCCTAATGTATGAGCTCCTGACTGGCAGGTATGGGCATCGGGGCTGGGAACACGTCCCACTGTTTGTGCTGGTGTCACCCTGATTAGGCCGGGGCAGGTTCAGGGCTGGCGTGTGCTGGGCTGGACCTCACCAGCTGCTTTTCCACTTCAAATCAGGCATTTTGGGCCCTGGTGGGGAAAGAGAAAGGGTTTGCTCTCAGCTGAGGAAGAGGAGGAGGTGGACTGGGCACTGGGATGTGGGTCCCTGTATCCAGCCCTTGCCTTGTTTAGCTTTGCATATTAGTGTTGGCTATCACAGCTGCTGTGGGCAGCACGGGCTTCCTGGAAGTTCTCGGCTCGTCCCCGTCGCTCACTTCCAGGATACAGGAGCTGGGAGAGGATCCATCACCTCACCCTGCTTGTCCTTCAGGGCTGGAGCCAAGTCCCTGCTGGGTGGGAGCCCAGTTAATCCCCACCTAAATCATGTCACAGCATCAAACAGAGAATTAGCCAGCGAGTGTTGGTCAGAGCCCCCTTCCTTGGGCTGCCATGGAAAGAAGAGGTTTAACACATGTTGCTCTGGAAAACTTTTCCTCTTGGTACTTCCATCCCTGAAATCCAGAGCTCCTTGGCTGAGGAATGGTTAACACCATAGAAAGCAAGGCATTGCTAGTTGTCACCTACCTTTTCTCATCTGTATATATATTTTATCAGTCTTCAGTGCCATTTTAAAGACAAGCTTTTAATCTTTATTTCCCTCTCCCCTCTAAAGTCCCCCCTTCTCAGGCCCAGACCCCATGAAGACCTATAACATCATATTAAGGGGAATAGACATGATTGAATTTCCAAAGAAGATTGCCAAAAATGCTGCTAATTTAATTAAAAAACTATGCAGGTAAGTGGATGAAATATAATCACCTTGATGTTGTTTGCAAAGAAATCAGTTGTTCAGGATTAAGGAAATAACTGCTTTGTTATTCCTTTTGTAGGGACAATCCATCAGAAAGATTAGGGAACTTGAAAAACGGCGTGAAAGATATCCAAAAGCACAAGTGAGTGTCTTCTCCACCAGCCAGCAGATCCAACCCACAGCAACAGGCATTTCAATGTCCTGCTAAAAACCCCTTTCTATCCATGATGTAAATTCTTCATCCCTTTTGGTCCGATGGGAGTCATTAAGTGATGTCTTAGGAGTTTCCACTCTGCTGGAATGGGATCATCACCCATTCCAGAAACAGGTTCTCTCATCCATCCATGCTGGACCTTCTCTCCTCCAGCCCCAAAGCTACAGGAATGGATGAAGTGGATGTTTTTGTGGACAGGGCTCATCTACCCACTGGGAGCAAAGCTGAGGTGCCCCAACCAGGAGTGGGACATCCCTGGGCATGAAGCTGGGAGCTAATTTCCTATGAAAAAAGGACATTTTTGGGTCTCATACTGCAGGGAAGGAGCAGCTTCCAGGACAATTGCAGTGAGGAAGGGCTCTCTCCTGAGTGTTGGGGATTTGGGATCACCACTGCCCACGTTTCCTTTCCAGTCCCAAAAAACAGATACAGAGATGACAGGAAAAATTCCAAAGGATCTGAGGGTGATGTGTGTGGGAGATGAAATCCACTGTTTAAACAACTGACATTTCTTTCTGTGCTACAAATGTGTAACTGCTGGATTTTTTCCCTCCCTTCAGATGGTTCGAAGGCTTTAACTGGGAAGGGTTACGGAAAGGGACACTGACTCCTCCCATAATACCAAGTGTAAGTTCATTGTTTTCTCCTTCATCACCACTGAGTTCCCTCGGGAATGTTGTGAGCTTCAGGCAGTGGTTCAGTGGGAACAGCATGTGCTTCATTTCTTCTGAAGATGCTTGAAGGAGTCACGTTGGACACATTCCCAGCTCAGCTTGGTCTCTGGGCAGGCTCTTCCAGGAGAAGGCAGTTTGGGCAGGGTATGGCCATGACAAAGTGCCCTTGGCAGCAGGAGGTCAGGGCAGCATCACTCACTCCTACACATTTTTCTCTTTCTCACCTGCTCCACTTGTTTCTCCATCTCGTTTTCCCATTTCGGTGCAGAGCTGCCACTTTCCCCCCTTCCCTCTTCCCTTCTCCTCTATTCTTACTTCTTTTGGAAAGACAAGTGGGATTTGTGTGCCATCTCCCTTTTCTTTTGCCTTAACCCTTCCTTCTGTCTTGTCTTTTGTGCTCCTCACCCTTTTTTCCCTGCATCCCCGTCCTCCATGAAAAGCCCCGTTCCGGCCTAGTTTATGTTTAACGGGAGCAGCCGGGCAGGGACAGCTCCGCTCATTTTGCTTTGGAGCAAAGCTCTTCCTTTGATGTCTTTGTGAGCTCTCTCCCCACAAAGCCAGCTGCAAAGGGAAACCAAACAGGATTAGCTGATAGAAATTACCTTGGCCCCTTCTGTTCTGCAGCCTCCCCTCCTTGTTTCGGCTTAATCCCTTTCTGTGCGGGCCTCTCCCGCGGGATCACCCAGAATGACATTAGCAACCGGGTTTAATTGCACCCCCTGCTCCCTGCTGCACCCCCTGCAGCAGCACAGCCACAGCTCCAGGGCTAAATCTGCCATCCCAACGTTTTCTTAGCAGCCAGCAAAGATCAAGGGGGTTTCCCATCCCCCTGTTTTGCCCCGTGGGCTGCGGGAGTTACTGGTGGGAGAAAGCAGGACTTACATGTCCCTGAAGCAGGAGGACCAAACAACACATTTGTGTTTTATAAGTCAAAGCTGGGTTTGGTTGGTTTGTTTTTTTTCTTGTTAAGCTCATTCTAAAGTCCTGGAATGGTTTGGGTTGAAAGGGACCTCAAATCCCATCTTACTCCAGGGACACCTTCCACTAGCCCAGGTTGCTCCAAACCCCGTCCAGCCTGGCCTTGGCTTCTTTTTACTGCCTATTAATTAAGCAGCACACACTGTTCACCACATTTCTTGTCAGACCATGAAGTCAAGTTTGCTCCTTTACATCCAGTTGCAATCCCTGCTTTATCTGTGCAGCCTGGGAAATGCCCCAGCGTGTTTTTCTGGCTGGTTTTAGTGGATTTTTCTCTTAGTAAGAGCATTTCCAACACTGCTCTTACCCCATATAGACTGAAGGTTCATGGGACTGGTGAAAATCTCTTTTCAACCTCAGAGCCATCAGTCCCTCTCCACCTTGTTTTCCACAAGTTTTTTGGCAAAGTCCTAACTCCCAGTAAGAGCCACATCTGAAAAGGGACCCAAAATACCCAGTTTTATGGGGACACATCCATTTTCCCTTCTGCAATCCACGTCTCCTTGGTGGCTGGGAAGGAGCCAGCAGGGCTGAACATGCAGATCAGCTAATTTTTTTTGGAAGAAAAAGGCTTTTCCCAGCTCTTTAACTCCCATTAGTTACATGGCACTACCAGTGAGGCAATCCAAAGCTACTCCTGAGCTCTTATTCCATGGGATTTTTGGAAAGATCCCAATTTACAACCTGCTGCCAGGACACTGCTGAGCCTCAAGAGCACAGCCTGGAGAGGAGAAGCTTTGGGTGACCTAATTGTGGCCTTCCAGGGCCTGAAGGGGCCTGCAGGAAAGATGGAGAGAGACTATTTTCAAGGGTCTGGAGTGACAGGACACCCTGTGAGGGTGGGGAGGCCCTGGCACAGGTTGCCCAGAGAAGCTGTGGCTGCCCCTGGATCCCTGGAAGTGTCCAAGGCCAGGTTGGACGGGGCTTGGAGCAACCTGGGCTAGTGGGAGGTGTCCCTGCCCATGGCAGGGGTAGGACTGGATGGTCTTTGAGGTCCGTTCCATCCCAAACCATTCCATGACTCTGTGACTGTCAGTTGGCCTCAGACTGTGGCTTTTCCACACAAGTGAAATGGCTAAAAATTGCAGGATTTCCTTCCCAGCTCTCCTGTGGCAGTGCAGTCCCCTCCAGCCTGCTCTGCCTGCTTGGGGTAAGGCTTAAAGTACCCCATTTCTAGTAAGACACTCCTCATTTTGGGCTGGAGAGCTGCTGCTCTGTTCTTGCCTTCTTTATTTTTTTAAATTGAATTCACTGCGTCAAGATGTCGTTGTAAGAAAGGTTCCCTCACTATTGTAAAGCAAAAAAAAAAAAAAAAAAAAGGAAAATATCTAGCTATGGTAGATAAATGACATTATTTCCAAGAAAGAAACGTGGTTGGCCTTATTTCCAAAAGAAAAACACGGTTGGCCTTATCCTGGGAAAGATGGTTTTCTCTAGTAGGATGCTTAGGCTGAGCAACACTTGTCAGGAAATGTAAAGGCAGGATCCTGGAGACGTAACTGTGAAATCCTGGGCTTTGGGGAGGCTTTTCCAAGTCTTTCCTGATGACCTTGTGCCAAGGGGTGGGACAGCTGCTCTTGAACCCCAGCGGGCGTGGATCAGGAGGGTCGGGAGGCAGTGGGAATCCTCCTGGGTGTGGAATGCAGCCCTTCCCTGGCTTGCCACAGGCAGCAGTGGATGCTCCTGAATGATCACGGCTGTGAGATGAGGAGGGCCTGCCTGCAGAGGTCCCCCTGGATGGCCATCCCCTTGATGGCCACCCCCTTGATGGCCATCCCCCTTGATGGCCATCCCCTTTGATGACCATCCTCTTGGTGGCCATCCCCCTTGATGGCAATCCCCTTTGATGACCATCCTCTTGGTGGCCATCCCCCTTGATGGCAATCCCTTTTGATGACCATCCTCTTGGTGGCCATCCCCCTTGATGACCATCCCCTTTGATGGCCATCCCCTTGTTGCTCTTCCCGCAGGTCGCATCTCCAACGGACACGAGCAACTTCGACAGCTTCCCGGAGGACAGTGACGAGCCACCCCCTGACGACAACTCAGGATGGGACATAGATTTTTAATGTCTTTCTCTTACCTGCTTCTGCCTTGCTGAGGACAGCTTTCCTGGGACGTGGCTGCCAGCGAAACCGAGAGAACGGAACTGGGGAGGATTCGTGCTCGGGGTCACCATGATGCCTTGATTGATGCTGCTACAGGAACTCCAGTGGCATTAGGACTTACTGCTTAGATGACAATAGTGCTCTTCATGTTTTCTGTTCGAACACAACCTGGGGGTTGACATGGTGGTCCTGACACAGAGCCTTTCACCGGTAGAGAAACACGTTTTCTGTCACCGCCGAGGTCTTGCTACGCTCTTAATTATCAAGGCCAGGAGATACATTGTGTAAGACACACCCAATTGTAGCTGCAAGGTACTGGCTTTATCAGTAGGATCAGTAGTAATTTATTCAGTGCTGTAGCCAAATACAGTGCAGGATTTGGGCTATTCCCACCCTCCCAGCTCCGCAGGGCTCCCTCCCAGTGTCGGAGCAGAGGAGGCCACGGCGGGCCCGGCCAAAGAGTTCATGTCAAAGCAGTGGTGAAATGTGTCCTTTTCCTTTCTGAGCAGAACCACAACAAGACTGAATGTTACCTTTCCTCTTTGGTTTGGAGAGTTTTTTTTTGTTGAGCCTGGTAGAACAAAAGCACAACTGCTCGAGATCCTGTGAAGGCAGATATGGGTCATTTCTCTCACGCTGCAACACCACCTTTGGGGTTTGTTTTTCCTTTCCCTTGGTACAAATACATCCCTGCATGAAAACAAAAATCAGGAAACTAATCCGTTTGACATACAAAACAGTGCTTGGATCACGGTCCTGTAACAAGGCGACAGCAGCCCACTGGTCTTGTCGATTTAGGCGTAAAATTAAGCTCGACTTGGACCTCTTTAGAACCCAAAGGGAAAACATAAGACCTGTAATGTCCTTTTTAGGTGCTATGTCCATCCCTCACCTGGTCACTCAACCACCTTTTGAGAGATATGTAGCAAGAGGCTTCGTTCTCCGTCACTCTTGGATGATCCCACGTCTCCACGTCTCCATCTCCTCCGTGTTTAGTGCAGAGCTCATTAAAAGCCAAGTACTGGGCCAGTTTGCTGGCTCTGGTGTAATATTGCCTGTAAAAATGGAATCCTAATGCCTCTCTGGGCTAAGGAAAGTCCATGGAATTAAATGGAAAAGCGATATTGTATGTATTTGTGCAAGGTCTCCGTGTCGCCGGCGCAAGTTCCCCGATGATCATGTTTAGGGCACTGTAATGGCCAGAGCCAATATATGGAAAAAGAGCCTGGGGAAAACAGTATCAGGATATGCTTTTCCCTGACTTTCACTGCTTTTCCTTTGCTTGAATACAGTCTCCTCTGATTTATAGGCCATAATTCTGTCCTGGATGCCCGTTTGTTGACTTCAGGTATCCCGTTATCCAACAAAACCCATCGGGTTTCGGTCTCTCTAGGACCCCAAAAAATCATAGCATCATAGAATAATGGAATGGTTTGGATTGGAAGGGACCCTAAAGACCCTGTCGTTCCAAGCCCTGCCATGGGCGAGCAGGTGCTGCCCCGTTTCATCTCAGTGCTGCCCAGAGCTGAGAGTGAGGAGATCAGCTCTTGCTGAGAAGGACTTTTGCCCACATACTCCGTGGAAAGTATCTGTATTAACAGAAAAATATTATTTCCCTGATGCTAAATCCCAACTCTTTCCCATGTTTCTGATGAAAGCAACTTGACAGTGTATTGTTTGACAGCGTGGACCGTGTCCTGCTGTTTGCCAGCAGACATGAGCTGGCTCACCTTTGGAACCAGTCTGTGGCACAGGATTTCCTTCCCTGTTTTCCAGAGGGTGAGGCAGCAGAGCTGGCACAGTCACTTCAGGTTATTTCTGCTGTTCTTTAATCATTGGAACTTCGTCTGCCTTCCAAACTGTTGGGAAAAGGCAGTAGCTCCTGGCTTTTCCACCTTTATCCGAGGGATGGACGACACTGAGAGCCAAGGCTGAGCACTAGGGCTAAAATATCCACCAGGCATCTTAGAGAACAGGCCTAGCAGCTGAATTCTTCACTCACACCCCCCTGGAGTTTCACTCGACAAGGAGAACTTTCTGTAGGATTGTAGAGAGGAGTTTGTCCCAAAACGATGACACTCGTGCTGTGGCAGGCAAGGGGTTGCTGGGTGGCAAAAGCACCACGAGGATTTGGGGGGCAACCTGAAAACACGACAGGAAGGAGGGTTTGAAATGGGCTCTTTTTCTTTTTCCCTGTCCCTTTTTCCCTGTGCCAAGCACAGGAATCAATACTGTACTGAATATGAGTTTATTTTGATACCAAACCCCTCACTCGACTCCCATCACCTCTCCCAAGCATTAACACCACACTATGTATATTATAAAAGCCTTCATTTATAATAATATATTTAAGTTGCTTTATATATATATATATATATTCACAACAAGGGATTGCCTCTGTGTTTCCACTTTGTGTCCTTATTTCTTTGTCTCCTTCCCTAATCTATGGGAGGAGGGTGTATTTAGGCTCCCATATTCCAGCTGAAATCAGCTCCCATATTTCAGAGCAGGGTGTTGACTGGTGTCATGACCACATGGCTGATCCGTAGCTTCTCCCAGCGCTGCATTTCCCACAGCAAACTCTTCTTTACCAACAGGACCACGAGCGACTATTTCTGTAAATAGGTATTTTCGTGTCGGTATGTTGTGGTACACATTGAACTTTTTGTTCTTTTCCAGCCCCATGGCATTATTCCTTCATTTCCTTATTTGTAATGTAATGTTTTTAGCTCAAGGTAGACTTGAACTAATGTCATATTTGTCAGTATTATTAAACTTTATGTCAACTGTTCTGTTAAGTCATCTGTCCCATAGTTTGAGAACATGACTAGCTATCTGGCATTGTTGCAAGTGCCTTAAATCCATGGCATCTTATAAAAAAAAAATGACAAATTTGGTGTTATGCTGCATGACAAAGACAAACACACCTCAAACTGTCGTCCTTTCTTAGCTTGCTGCGTTTTACAGTTCTTTCTGCAACCGGTTTCTAAGCCTTTATTATCTAAAACTGACGAATTACAGAAATGATGAAGTCGTTCTCTTATTTCTGTTCAATGTACCAGAGCTGTGTATCTGTTAATGAGATACAGAGTCATTTCTGTGAAATGTATAAATGTTTATGTGCGGGTCAAATTCCTCTCTGACATCCTAGCAGTCCGTAGACAGGTATTCCTGTTCCGCCGAGCCCTGCAGATCCCACCCATCGTGCCGTCCCGTCTTACACGCCCCCCCTCGAGGAATCTCCCACCTGGAAAAAATCCACTCGCTGTGAACCCAGCCTGCCTTCTTTTTTTTTTTTTTCCCTAAAACCCCGAGGCAAAGGCGCAGCTCGTTTGCACCACTCAACAAAACAGTGCTTTCCCCTCCCCGACCCCCTCCGTCCGCAGCCACCGCCGGGACGAGCCCTCGGTGCTCCCGCGGAGCTGCCGAGCTGGAAGCTCCTCATCCGCAGCTCCCCAGCCCTGACACCGAGACTTGGGCGCCTTGAGGGCTTTCTCAGCAAAAGGGGAAATTCCCTCTCCCTCCGGCCCCGGCTTATGCTGGTTTTTACACCATCCCTTTGGTTTGTATCCTTATTTCCCCCAGCTTTCTTCTTCCACGGGAGAGGTTTTGTTTGTCGGACAGATGTCGGTCACCCCCCGCTCGGTGGCCGCTTGCACTCTTTTGATGTTGACTGAAGAACTTTGGGGTTTTTTTCATAAACTTTAACTGCTTTTGTTTGGCTCTGTACTTTCCCTGCAGCTGTAATTGCCGAGTGCCTGTTGTATACTTTATAGAGTTGAAATAAAAATAATTACTTTTGAACAACGTGTCAAGGGTTTCCTTCCGCAGCCCAGGCTGAGCCTGGGAGAGTTCTGCTGCTCAGGGATTAAACTGGGGCGGTGGGGGTTCTGCTCTGGCCAGGTGACCCCCACAGCTCACTTTCTACCCAAACTATCCTCTGAACATGGCTCATCCTCGGGGATGAAGAATTCCCTTTGTATTTTGATTGCTGACAATATAAGGGAGTCCAGGGAAGGCACAGTGTTCCCAACACGAGTTGTGTCATCCCTGGAGAGGATGTGACTCAAAACAGCACCACTGTCAAAAAACTGGTTGCCCAGGGAAGTGTCCAAGGCCAGGATGGAGCAACCTGGGAGAGTGGAAGGTCATGTCGACTCCATGATACACAGGTGAGCAAAACCTGGGCAAAGGAGCAAGAAAACATCCTCCCAGGAAGGAAATAAATGTGGTAACTGCCTAAGGAGGAGCTGGGAAACATCCCAAACCGTTCTGCGGGATGCAGCAATCGCAGGTCCAAGTTAATCGGGCAATAAAAACCGCGGGGTGACGTGGCCCTCACCTGAAACTGCTGGGGGAACACCAGGATTTCGGGCCGAGGCGTGGCCCTCCTTCTCCCAGGCTAAAAATAGGGAAGGCAGGGATGGCCGGGCTGTGCCGGGGGTGCCGTGACTCAGCCCCCCCGTTTCCGACGGCACCTGCCCGCGGTGCTCGCCGAAACCTTCCCAGGCAATTATTAGCCGGGCTGGAGCCATCTGGACCTGGAACAGCTGATAGGGAATACCGGGAGAGCGGGGCTTCATTGCAGGGAATTGCGGCGGCTGGAATTCACCCCCTCCTCGCCCCCGCGGGTTTTAGCCGGGCGGGGGCACCGCTCGGGCTCTTCGCCCGTATTTTCATTCAAGCCACCCTCGGAAAATAAATAAGCGGGAGCGCGAGGCCGCCGCCGGGCAAAACCGGGTTAATTAATTAACGGGGGTTAATTAGCGGCGCGGGGTGTAGAGCGATGCCCCCGCGGGGCCGGCAGGGGGAGCGCTGGGGACGCGCTGCCCCGACGGGGGCGGGTTGGGGGGTTTGGGGATGTGGGGGGGGCAAGGGAAAGTTTGGGGGGGATTGGGATTTAGGGGGGGCTTAGGGGGGCCTGGGGGTTTAGGGGATTTGGGGGTTTTGGGGTTTAGGGGGGCTTTGGGGGGGTTGCGCGGGTCTGGGGGGTTTGGAGGGGGCTGAGGGGGGGGCGGCGGCGCCTCGAGGGCGTCGGGGGGAAATGGGGAGGGAATAGGGAAGCGACCCCTTTGATGTCCCCGCATCAAAGGGCCCGGAGCTCCCCCTCCCCGCCCAGCTGGGGTCAGAGGAATGGGGGAGGACGGCGAGGGTCCTGCCGTGTGTCCCCCCGGTGTCCCCACAGCCCCCCCGGGGCGGGGGGTGCGCAGCAGCCCCTCTCCCTTCCTGCGGGGCTGCGCTGGCGCCAGGAAGGACGCGGGGGAGGCGGGGGGGGAGACTTAGAGGAGACCAAAGGAGCGACTGTGACACCGGGGAAGAGCGGGGGGGGGACTCTCTGCACCCACCGCGGCTCCCACCCACCATGGGGGGGTTGCATGAGGGGGAGTCCCCCCCTTTCACCCGTTCCCGGTCCCTCCGTCGCGCGCGCCCGGCTGGAGACAGCGGCGGCGTCGGGGCGTGTGGAGCATCTGGCCGGGAACAGGGGCGGGGGGTGGGAAATAGCGGGGGGGTCCTGCCCTCGCCGTTGCGAAACCCCCTCCCGACCAATGTCGGAGCCCTCGGGGCGGGGTGGGGGCGGTTTTGGGGGCTCGTGGGCACAGCCCCCCCCTCGGGAAGCCTTTGAAATCCCAGCCGGCGGGCCCCCCGCCCCGAGGGGGCGGGCAGGACGCGGCCCCGGGGGTATAAAGGCGGCGGAGGAGCGCAGGGAGCCGCTGCTCGGGGCCACCGCGGGCACGGGAGGGCACGGCGGGCACCAGGATGCGCGGGCTGGTGGCGCTGCTGGCGGCGCTGAGCTGCGCGGCCCCGGCGGGGCGGGCGGCGGCTCCCGGGGGCGGCCTCAGCTCCAACGCCATCAAGGGACCCCCCCCGGGGGGGGCCGAGGCCAGCGCCGCCCCCGCACCCCCCTTCGACGGCAGCAACAAGGCACCGCCGGCCGCCACCCGGCAGGTAGGAACGGGTATGGAGCGGGGGGACACCAGGAATGGAGGGGGGACACGCGGAGAGCGTGGGGAGAGGGGACATCGGGATGGATGGGGATCACACACTGGGGATGCAGGGAGGGGACACTGGGATGGATGGGGGACACACAGAGAGGGTGGAACGGGAGGACACCGAGGACGGATGGGGGACACACACCGAGGGTGGAGAGAAAGGACACCGGGGAGGGATGTGGGACACACACCGAGAGGGATGTGGGACACACAGAGGGTGGAGAGAGGGGACACCGGGGATGGATGTGGGACACACACCGGGGATGGATGTGGGACACACACCGGGGATGGATGTGGGACACACACCGGGAGGGATGTGGGACACACACCGGGAGGGATGTGGGACACACACCGAGGGTAGAGGGACCGCATCGGGGGTGGAGTTGAGGGATACATTTGGGACGGAGAGGAGGGACACACACACACTTGAGGTGTGGGGAGACACCGAGGATGGAGGGGACACCAGGGCCAGGGGATGGAGGGAGGAGGTACCCACATGGCACGGAGGAAACGGGACACGCACCAGGGATGGAGGGGACACCGAGGACGGGGGAGGACGCATCGGGAGTGGAGAGGGGGACATCGGCGATGGAGGGGAAGGACACATCGGGGATAGAAGAGCGGGACACAGCGGAGGTGGATGGAGGGGACTCACAGGGGATGGTGGGACACCCACACACCGGGGAAGGAGTCGGGGAGACACCTCGGGAATGGAGGGGACACCAGGGACAGGGAAGGCGCACCGGGGTGGAGGCAGGGGAGGGGACACATCGGGGATGGATGGAGGGGGCGCACCGGGGATGGAGTGGGGACACAGCGGGGATTGAGTAGGGGGAACACCTTGGGGATGGAGGGGACGCACCGGGATGGAGCGGGGACATACCGGGGACGAAGTGGGGTGGGACACCTCGGGGATGGAGGAGACCACGGGATGAAGCGGGGACACACTGGGGACGGAGGAGGGGACACACCCCGGGGATGGGAGTGTCGGCCTCGCTGACCCCCCTCTGCCTCCTCTGTGCCCCCCCAGCCTTTCCCGTGCGCCGAGGACGAGGACTGCGGCCCCGAGGAGTTCTGCGGGGGGGCGGCCCGCGGCGGGGGGGCCCCGCTGTGTCTCTCCTGCCGGAGGCGCCGCAAGCGCTGCCTGCGCGATGCCATGTGCTGCCCCGGCATGACCTGCAGCAACGGTGAGCGCCGGGGGCTGCGGGCTGGGGGCAATCTCGAGGTGGCCGCAGGAGGGAAGTGGGAGGGGGGTGGAGTCCCGCCCGTGGCTGATAGCCGCCCCACTGCCCCCCGCAGGTCTCTGCACCCCGCCGGAGCCTCCCCACGGAGCCGCCGAGCTGGAGGAGCCCGGCACTGAGGCTCTGCCCCGACGGACACCCGCTCCCGCCTGGATCCCCACGGCCAAAGGTAAGGGGGGCTGTGCTGCTGGGACCCCAAGGCCCCTGGGAGGTGCCCACCCTGCCCTACTGTCCCTTGTGGGATCAGTCCGGGATATCCACCCTTCACCTCTGTTCCCTGTGGGATCAGTCCAGGATGCCCACCCTGCTCTGCTGTCCGTTGTGGGATCAGTCTGGGATGCTCATCCTGTCTTTCTGCCCCCCACGGGATCAGTCTGGGATGCCCACCCCGCCCTGCTGTCCCCTGTGGGATTGTTCCAGGATGCCCACCCTGCTCCACTGTCGTTTCCTCAGTGTCCACTATAGGGGTGGCTTGAGTTGCCCACCCTGCCTTGCTGTCCCTCGTGGGATCAGTCTGAGATGCCCATCCTGCCCTGCTGTCCACTATGGGCTCAGTCCAGGTTGCCCTCTCTGCCTCAGTGTCTCCTGTGGAATCAGTCTGGGATGCCCACTCTGCCCTGCTGTCCCCTTGGGATCAGTCTGGGATGCCCACCGTGAACCTCTCTCCCCCATGTCTGGCATGCTCTCTTTGCCTCAGTGCCCCCTGTGGGATCAGTTCAGGATACCCACCCTTGCCTGCCGTCCCCTTGGGATCAGTCTGGGATGCTCCTCCTGCCCCGCTGCCCTCCTTGGAGGAGCCCATGCTGCCCACCCCACCCCGCTGTCCCCCGTGAGCGATCCCCACCCCTCCCCGCCGTCCCTGTCCCTTGGCTGACCCCCCTGTCCCCCGCAGGAGAGGAGGGCGACCTGTGCCTGCGCTCGTCGGACTGCGCGGCCGGGCTGTGCTGCGCCCGCCACTTCTGGTCCAAGATGTGCAAGCCGGTGCTGCGGGAGGGGCAGGTGTGTACCCGGCACCGGCGGAAAGGCTCCCACGGGCTGGAGATCTTCCAGCGCTGCCACTGTGCCGAGGGCCTGGCGTGCCGCCTGCAGCGGGAGCTCGGCCCCGGGGACGCGTCCCGCCTGCACACCTGCCAGCGGCACTGAGACGGACACACGGACAGACACACGGACACCGGCACGCGGCCCGGCCCCGCCGGGACAGACTCCGGCCCCGCCGGAGGGAAGGTTGTTTCTCAAGGGAACTACTTTAAAGCGACTTTCTTGCAGTACGTTACTGTGTTGTGAATACTGAGCTGGCACTTACGCTGTACATAACGCCGGGACTGGTCGGTTCCCCCCGCCCCCCCCGAGGGCGCTGCCTCGCGCTCTCCGAGGGACTGGGACTTTGTACACACTGGGTTTTTAATCCCGGCTCAAAGGGATGCCACCGTCTGTTTGCGAGCCAATAAATTCCTCTTCCAAACCAGCCTGAGCTGCCTCTGCGTCCCTGTCCCGCGTGTGGAGCCCTCCCGTGCCACGGGAGGGGGGGAAATGCCCGTTTTGGGGGCATTTTGGATGGGGGGCTCGGAGACTC